TGAAGCTGGACGGAGATTTGTGGAGCAGTGTCCTTTGTGCTCAAAGAAGCAGGACAAGAAAGAATCATAAATTGGGGCCGGTGCATGATGGTTGAGGTGCGCTGTACTATTGCTATGCATAGGTGACTGTTTATGGTCTGAAACATGACATTTCTGCTGCATCAGCAAACGGTGTGTGCAAATATAAAAGCGAGGACATACTGTGTGCTCACTGGAAAAAGGTTATAGACTTATTTTACATGTCGTTTGATTTTTACAACCGCTGCATATATACAGATTGTCTTTCTTTATCGGCCGACATAGAGATTAAATAATATGCTGTATCACGGACATTAAAGCAGAATTCAACCTCCATTACAAACCTCTGTAAGTAAGCGTCCAATTGGCCAATCAGTCAGCCACCTTTCAAGTTTTATGTGTAGTCAGTAAAGCAGCCAGCCTCAGCTTTGTTCTTGGCCTTGGCTGTTTGCAGTCATAATGAAAATGTTTGATCTTGATATAGAGCCCAGTGCAAGACCCTGGGGAAAACCGCCATGATGCTGAACCAATAGGAGAGAGATTATGTTAGTGTAGTGCAGTTTCACTTGCATCATGTAGGCTGGATGATACTGAGAAAAACAATGCATCAACTTTTCAGTCTTACATACCATATTTTGTATGTGTTGCTGTGAAGGATGTGGGCGGATGCTCCTCAGCCTATAAGATCCATGCTGGGTGGAGATGGAGATGCTAGAGAAGGGTGAGAGGAATTATTACCTAGCATTAGGAACTCTAATCTGTTGCAGGTGTTTCTGGCTGTTCTCCCTGGCCATGCCTTCTCTCCTACCCGGGAGGCCCCACCATATGTGTGTGTGTGTGTGTGTGTGTGACAGAGAAAGAGACAGAAGAAGCCAGAGGAGTTTTTTTCCCCTTCCACTGCATGTGCAAGGAGATGATACTACCTCCACAATATCTCAAATCATAAAGTTTCAAGATAAGGACAACGAGAACACTCACTCCAATGACATTCCCCCATCATTCATAGCATTGCAAAGACCTGAAATAAAAAGTGTGAGAGAGCTGTGCAAACTTTTATATTCAATATTCATGACCACTTGCTGTAGTGTCATGTATATGCACCCAGGAGAAAGTGCCCTTTATTCAGTTTCTCAACTTTTCAAATCAACCTTTTTTTTTTAGCAAGGCATTTCTTTTTGACAATGACAACTCTCTCTGGGAATACAGTAGAAAAACACTTTATCAGCAGGGTACAACCTCTAGGGTGTATTACAATAAAGAAAAGACCACCAGGATGGATTGAGCCAACAGCTTCACAGGAGGCCTGTGGTGCTTTTGCGGGAGGATGAACAAAGACAGAAAGGAACCCACTGAGAGGTCCTGCTCTGTAGGAAGTCTGCAAAGCCTACTGTGGCCGGCTTTGGAAAGACAGAACTAAGGGAAATAGAGAAGGATGGAGATGGAGAAAAATCAAGGGGTGAAGTGAAGACAGGAAGGGAAGGATGAGGTTTAAAAAACAAAAAAATCTGATGATTCAATCTATGAACACATGGGACCTGGTTATTTATTCCAGCAGAGACATGAGTAATGGAGATTAAATTATTTGAAACTAATTTGCTATATCAGTTTTAAATGCATGATAGTCTACAATCAAAATGTTTCTGTTGAGACTGAAGCCATCTGACTTCACTACTTTGGCATTACTGCCCTCATGTGGATATCCAAGGTAATACTCCATTCAGATTTTTCGTCAAAAGGTATGATGGTTCAAAGACTTACAGATTCAAAGTTCATCATATGATCAATAGCTAGTGAAGTTGCTGACATGAAAGTCCCAGGCTCCTCCAAAGTGCAAAATACAATATTCTCAAGACACAAAATAAATAAAAAGGTTGAGTGACGTATTTATATTACAAATTATGTGTTTTTTATGTCTGTCATTTTTGTGTCACATGGGTCCTGATGTTTAGGTGTTTAATACTTTATACCAGGGGTGTCCAAACTTTTTTCACCAAGGGCCACATACATACAAATATACGAAGGGCTGGGCCACTCCCTAGAGGTGAGGTATTTTGCCTTAAGGAAGTCAGCAAAATCAATCACATGAAGGTCAATTATGCTTTTTACTTGAATATGCTTTAAGAAAACAAACAGCCTACATCCCAGTTCTCTGTAGGTTTTTACTTATTTTGTTAGCAGCTCATTCCTTAAAACAGGAGCCTCAGATTGCTTAAAACAAGAGGAAATAGGAAGGGTCTATTTCAAGCTTCTTATGTAAATAAGTTATTATTATCAACTTAGATTTGTTAGAAATAGTTTTCAACTTTAATTGACTGAATGTATTTGAAACATTTGGCCTATTAACTCATGAATACTATGAAATATCCGTTTACATATATATTTGAGAAGTACAATATAAGACAAGCACAAGTTTCATTTGTGGGCCATATTTCATTACAATTTTGGAATTCGCTGAGGGCCGATTCAAAATGGCCCGCGGGCCGCATTTGGCTCCCGGGCCGTAGTTTGGACACCCCTGTTTTATACTGTTATAAACTTCGAAATGATGGCAATAACCCCATCAAAAAGTACATAAAAATACATTTTCACAAGCAGGAGGAATACAGCGTGATTTGGGAAAATGTATTTATACAACTATTTTACCAGGTCTTTCACACTTACCACAGAAATGCAGTTATGTGAAATGTTTGATCATTCAAACATCACTAAAATAAAGAAAAAGAGGGTCCTCTAATCTCCAGCAACTATGTGCAATATGTGCTATATGTGCAATATATATCAATCAATCAATCAATGTTTATTTATATAGCACGACACCCTCTGTCCGTAGACCCTCACATCGTACAAGGAAAAACTTCCAGAGAAAACCCACAGTTTAAAGGGGAAAAAGGGAGAAACCTCAGGGAGAGCAACAGAGGAGGGATCCCTCTCCCAGGACGGACAGACGTGCAATAGATGCCGTGTGTAAATTGAAAAGATAATACATTTGCAACATAGGTAGTCCAAATGTTTGGAAATGCATGTGTGTATAATAGGAAGATGAATCCACGAGGATATCCATCCAGGACTTATGATTCAGGACCACAGCAACAGGCACAGCCACGACTCAAGATCCAGGGCTCGCGATCCAGGACTCAGGACCACAGCAACAGGATCATCCATGACCCATATATATGCCGTTAATAACTGTGCAATATATAGGGAGACCAGGGACAGTTGCAACACTTTTTGGGCTTTTCCCCAATAAGTAAAAAGCCATTTACAATAGGATAGCCATTTTGCTATATTATACATTATCAATATGTCAGCTACTGAAACAATGTATTTAAGATGTTTTTATGAAATAAGTACAGGTTGGAAAATGTATTTAAAAAAAAAAAAACTCAACTGTTACAACTGTCCTTGTGTACAGGGACAGTTGTAGCACATGCCAGGCACGGTTGTAACATGTTAATAACGGTTACCTTTTTTCACACTACATGACAACAAATAGGGAAAGCTGTCAAATTCTAAGGCAACGAGATTTGAATGGGGTTTCACACATCCTCCAACAAACAATGAACAATGAACAGGATAACAGATTACACACACAGCTCTCACACTGTGAAGGATTAAACTGTTCTCTGAGAGGTGCTTCTACCTTAATTATGTAGACCTACCTCCTTTGAGCTGAGACCATAGTATAAATCAGCTGCCTCCATCAGATAGTCTCTCAAAAGCATCTCCTGCTCTGTTGAGAACACCTTCTTTGGTGTCCAGTAGCCTACTCTTGGGGGTGTTTGTGATCCCTGACTCTCCAACCTCAGCCTCTTTGTATGGAACCGGTACAGGGTGACATGGCATATATCCAGGGACTTTGCCACTTCCCTGAATGATTTGCCCTTCTCAACTTCATTTGAGGCCCTTTGCAGCAGAGCAAGTGGCACTCCCCTGTCTGTCTTCCTCTTTCTGACATTTGGCATACTGTAAACACACACACACACTTTAGGCCTACTGTACAGTATTTTATTCTGTTTATTTTTACAGGGACAATGCACACCAATCAACAATACAACTGTATGCTTGAATGAACAATTGATCATTCAAGCAAATGTGCCATCATTGTAAATGTGCCATGTTACAACCGTCCCGTTACAACCGTCCCAGGACCACCAGTCTTGCTTTCACCCCCTGTGAAACTGCCTGATTGCTAGCTTGACCCATATTTAGCTAGTTATATTTGTAGCTTACAAAACAGTGATTCTAATAATACTAGTTTGGATTCCTAGACATTTGAACTCAAGACAGTATCCAAAAAATACATCATATAATTTTAGTTAATATTTTACCTCAGAAACACACTTTTGCTGATATCTTACGCGAGAAATTCAAACGTGGCTCCTTTTTTTCTCAGCGATCTGACCATCTATCTGCGCATGTGCAGAGTGAGTTTCTTCACTCTAGCTTGTTTGTGATTGGAGATATTGAAGGTGTTACAACCAACCCGTGTTGCAACTGTACCTGGTCTCCCTACCTGGCTGCTAAATCCTAAGAACTGTTACAGGATGTGTATTTTGTAAATTGTGTAACTTTGTATTTTATTCAATTTTTTATTCTATTATAACTTTTTTTTAACTTTAATACTTTTGTATGCATGCTTCTTCGTAACATTAAGCTGTCTTTGGCTCTTTTTCTGCTGTAACAAGGTACATTTTCACTCTGTGGGACTAATAAAGGTATTCCGATCTGATTCTGATCTGATTTCCTGACTCGTATATCAACGCTGCACCTTATCCTACTGTCTACTGCCCCCTGTCTTGCCTTCTAAGTAGTTAACCCGTTTTTGTTTTTTTACTTGTCCTTAGCATTGGTGCTTCAGATGGTGAAAAACTCTGGCTGTGTGTTATGGACAACATTTATACAAACCCAGTCTATAAGCTTTCTTCCCTGTGAACCTGTTATAACATGACCTCTCACAAAAGCAAGACGAGGAAAGAACAAGATAGTCAATTTTTTCTCTTTTAATATTTTATAGGCAGATTTTATGTAGTGGAATATATCAATTACAATTAATGTTTTTCATGGGTTGTAGGTGTAGGAGTTCTGCATTATGTAGCCTGTGATGGAAGGGAATATTTCTTTGGTTATAGACACGATGTAGGTGAACCAAGGGTAGAAGAGCTCCGACTGTCTCGTTGCTCCAGTAATGATGATGTTCATCGCTGCTTCTGTGGCAGGGTAGGCTGGAACACTGGTGACTCCCCTAGGACACAGAGAAATACTGCTTTTAACTACTACTGAGGAAAGCGGCAATGTTTAATGCAAAAGAAAGTAGCAGGATATCAGTATAAATGTAATCCGTGATGACTTTGATGTATCTGTGAGACACTTTGCATTTGGTTTTTACACTTGACTCACTTGACTTTCTCCATAGCTGCTTCAGTGTCAATTAGCCCCAGTGTGCATATAGAGATGGACACGTTGCTCTTCTTCATAGACAGCTCGTGCTGAAGGGCCCCGAAGAAACCATTCAAGGCAAATTTTGTGGAGGTATACGGTGCCACAAAGGGACTGGGCATTTTACCTGTGAACCATGAATAACTATTACACTTCTAATACATTGTTTAACAGATGTAAAACATAAGAATATATTGTGGCCTTTTTTGGGCTTCATTCATAACACTGCAGTAGGCCTACTCATAACTAGTGCACATATTCACTTAACTATACTTTTAGATGTTTTAATTTATTGGAACAGAATATAAAACACAATTAATGCATCTGTAAAATACTGAAAATAAAAGATTTGAATAAATGTAGTATTTCATCATTTTACAAAACAGTATCACTAGGTGGTCCATTTAGTAGTCAGATGACCTTCTTGTGTTCAGGGTTTTTTTCTCTGAAGACTTTAAGAAAATAGTAAAATTATCAAATATTTATTTTAGTCCTCAGAAAAAACTGAAAGTCTGGACACATACATTCTGAATGACTGCTGATTAAGCAACATACCAGATACTAAATAGACATGGTGGGGAGTTTTTGATCTGCTGGTCAAAAATGTACTTTGAAATCCCAATTGTTTTCAAATATTATGATCATTTTTGTGAAATTCATAAATGAATACATTCATCATGTGTTTTTTAAATGTTTAATCTCATCATCAAGGTGTGTTTGAATAATGTCCCTATGTTGCTTACCTAAAAGCGATGAAACAATCACCAGTGATCCATTACTTTGTTCAAGGGAGGGCAAAGCTTTCCAGGCCATCTGAATGTAGCTGAAGAAATTGACCTTTGGAAAACACACACACGATTTTATTTTCCAAATCTACACTGTAGCTTTTGTGCATAAGATGATAAAGACTCTTTGAAAGTTGAATGTTGAAAACACAGAGATGCTGATAGACCATGAAAACGCTGCACTACCTTCATCAGCCACCTGGTGTGCTCCACGTCTCCCTCCCACATGCTGAAGGGGCTCGGGCCAATGTGGTTGAGAACCAGGTAATCCAGCCCTCCAAGCTTTTCAAGTGCAAAATCTACAACTTTGTCCGGGTCTGACTCACTGGCCATGTCTGCGGCTATGTAGAGAGCTTTCTGGGCTCCTAAACTCAGACACTTCTCTGCCACCTAGAAGCAAATATCAGAATGAAAAGATCAAATGCATTTCTGAAAAAAATACAGAAAAAGCTTGTGGCTTAAAGGTGGGGTAGGTAAGTTTGAGAAACCGGCTCGAGATCGCTAGAATTTGAAAATACACAACCGGAGAAAATCTGCCACTTCCTTATAGAGCCCCTCCTCCAACACACAAGAACGTGCACATGACCAATGAGGGCACGAGATAAGTTTGTGCACAGATGGAAGGCTGACAGGCAGGTAGGCCATCCAATCATTTTAGCCGGGCCGGCTAAAATGATTGGTCGTACTTTTTACAGTACTACGGCTTCCACAGATGACATTTTTTTATGGATTTTTTGTCAAAGCACTTAAGATATTCATTGCTATCGGGATGTTAAGAGCATTCCATGGAATATAACAAAAAGTGTATCTCGAGCCGGTTTCTCAAACTTACCTACCCCACCTTTAATGCAGGCACTTTGAAGAATGTGTTATTATAACCTATTGCCAGACATAATGTTGTTACATGTCTGACTTGATTTATAAACAAATACACTTTACATGATATGATGGACACAGAACTGAATGATTAACACTTAAATATTTGAGCGTCAAGTCCACTATGATGCTGTTAAGATCACTAACCTGCTGTAACACTTTCTCCCTCCTTGCTGTAATTACTATCTGAGCACCAAAGCTGGCATAGTGGTATGCCATTTGTTCTCCAATACCCGCACTGGACCCAGTCACCAATACCCTGGCCCCTTTGAGAGATTCTGAAAGAAACACAAAAACAAAGACATAGTCAAATTTGAGTTGTGATGGTGGAAATTAATTAAATGTTTAACTTGAGTGCCATTGATACAGCTTTTGAAACAATAATGGTGCTTTGCCTGGGCAAGTATATGTGCCAACTGGTATTAACTCTGTAGATATCTAATTGGGAAGTCATAAAAGATATGATAAGATATCAGACTTTATTGTCAATATAATGCTCTGCAAGACTAATAGGGTCAGGGTTAGGATCACACTTCTTTAATTAAAAAACCATAATAAAGAAGCAGTGATTAAATTGCTATCCATAGTGACATGTTGCACAATAGAGAGTTAAGCAGGCCTTTTTATCATTCAGTGATAAACCAGTTCCCGATATGCCAGTTTTCAGTTGACAAGGCATTTAGACAACTCTTTGCTCATTGGACTCTGACACTGACCCTAGACACGGCCACATTCGTCTGCCATATCTTTGAACAGGGAGGTAAAATTGTCAGATACATTGTTTTAAAAAAACCTAATACTACATGTTTAATGTTAATGTTAATGCTATTTCTGTGTATGTACAGAGGGAAACACAAACTGAAGTCAGATTCCTCGTAATTGTGATTCTCAACCCTCCTTAAATATGTGCATATGGCACATATTATGAGCACCTTTGTTCCCTTCATAAATCCATTTATATGTGCAGACAGATAACACCTTGTCATACAGTTTTTTAACAAAGTAAATACAAAAAGAAGAATTTGAAGAGTATACAGGCAGAACTGCACCTCCTTTAATATACTTTGAATGGCTGTGGATGCAGAGTGCATCTGAAACAAATCATAACATTTCATTAACTATGTGTAAGTTGTAGTCATAAAAAGTTTCTATGTTATCTTAATGAAGCTGTAGTATCAGCAATGGTAGTAGCTGTTCATAAGGCAATATACTGTTGCAATTGTGGGAAATATGACACACTAGCCTATTCACTTTACCCCATGATTTCATTACTTGTGGAAACTGGCTTGTACACTGAATCCTCACATCATGGATAAATGCTACTTTCTCTCTCTGGTAATGCAAGAGTCACAAGCGTAAAGCGTGTCTGATTATCACCAATTACTCGCTCAGCTTGTGCTTCTTTTCCTAAACTTCCCCAGTGAAGCTTTACACTCTATCATTATTATACACGGATATTTAGAGCATTGCAGAGCGGTCAGCAGTACAGCATCCCATCACTGGACATGATGAGTTCACATGATTCAAATTCAAGAGATGACCACGTAGTTCAGACGTCACGTGGTCCACACTGTTAGCCATGGGATGGGATGGTGCTATATATAGTGATTTTTTATTAAGGACAAATTACACCTTAGATTTTCTAATATTTTTGTCATTAGAATAAAGCCTTTTAGGAATATAACTTCCCTTCTATATTGTGTATATTTCTGTTTAATTGCTTCCTCTTATAACTGCCCATGTTTTGGATTCCCAGTGAACATTATTATTTTCTTATTGGACTTGCTTTTGTGTATATTTATATTTTTTGTAAACATTGATTTTCAAACTTTTAAATGTAATACTATATTGTATATTAATTTATATGATTTATATATTTATGTTTTTACAACTCAATTCAACTTAATATGATATGGTCATCATTATGTTGTAAATATACCCTAGTTTCTATTTGCTTAATGCACTTTTAATAGTTTGGTCATCCTTAATATGCTTTTAATTACCTTTTTTCTAATATGAGCCATCCCTAATTTATTGTCAGATTGCATAAATGAATATATCTTAAAAAGTTAAATACATTTTTTTTTTTTTAATTACTTAATGAGATTTAGGATATTTTGGATCCTAATTTTATATTTCATAATGTGCAAACAGGTCTTAAAAACCAAGTGCACGAAGCTACACTTTATCTTAAATAAAACATTGCATTTTCAAACGTAGTCTAACAGGAGACCATTAATCTATAACAGTGAAGTTATTGAATATTCTCAGGAGAAATATCACCAAAATAATGCAACAGCATATTTTCCCACACTTTGTGTTATAGTAAAATCAACCAGAAAGAAATGCATGTTGATGTGATTCAGGTAGACTACTGCAAAGCAGTGGAAGTATTACATATTTTTCAAAAGAATAATAATCTACATTTAGCAAAATACCCTTTTCTCAAACTAAGTGTTGTAGTATAACCAACAGGGGATCATTCATTTGTAACTTTATTTGAGTAGGTCAACACTTTACAGCAGTGAAGTTGCTACATGTTTTGTGTACTTAACCTATCTCTTTTCGGCATTGCACTTTGTAGACGGTCCCTGTGCGCTTGCCCCTCACTTGGCTTCACATGAACAATATCATTAGTCCATCTCCAAGGACTCTTTGTTTTGGCTCGTTTTGTTTAAAATTAGGTTGTAGGTCTTTGTCTACTTTGCTAGCCAACTGCAAGAAAGAGGAGTCCTTAATGTTAAAACAATGCAAAGAACAATTCGTCTTTGCACACACATGATATGCACCTTTAGCATGAAAGCTACACCCACACTCCGGGTATTTAAATGTGTAAATGCCTGTGCATTTTAAGCGACTTCAATGTAATTTGTGTGTAACTGGTATTTAAAACACAGCCGTTTAGGACCGTTTCAAAACTCTTCAGTAATCAGCACAAATAAAAAAAAACGTCTAAACAAGAATCCTATGCAAACATCCCAAAGTATCGTTAGTCAACAACAAGGTTAGTTAACCCACTCTCTTACCTTTATTAAAACTGGGTGAAGTCCACTTGACAGCTAGGAAAGCAACACATAGAGACGCTAACAGGATCTTTGTAAAAGTTCCCATTTTTTGACCTTGTTTGTAGCTTTGTTACAGCCTTCTTCCTTGCACTGGGATGAGGACTAAAAAGGAGTGCCGTTTACCAAACCCTTCCCCTCTTCAACTTGACATGCATAGGAGGGGTAAGGTTATTTTTCTGATAAAAGTTGAACATGTTGAACTAGTTCTACTCGCTTGGATGTGGGCGGAGCCGAAGGACAACGTGACGGAGTGCTTAAACTGGATACATTGGATTCTTTCCCATTATATTTATTTTGTCATTTAAATGAACTGAATATGCTTTATTGTTTCAAATGTACAGACATTTTCATTTTAATATAGTTTAACTTACATAGGCTACACATGGTTACATTCTTCTACTGCTTTACTGTTGCTTTACTGCAGCACCCCCTAGCGGCAGGCTAGTCTGCACATTTTATTTTTTTATATATATATTTTAATTTCATTTAATTGTGCCTAAGATATATTTTATATTATATATTAGTATTCAAATGATCATTTTAAACTATATAATAAATTATTTAGCTTCAGGGAAGAAAAAAGGGAAGAAAAAAAAGTGTTTTGTTTTTAGTCTGCTACTTTTAACATATGCTTTTAACCTATATATACAGTCTATGCTTTTAACGTGATGCACAACACAAGTGACAAGTAACTGACATGGCGCAAAAACGTATCTCGGAATTCTTTCTCACAAAAAACGCTAAATCTGCTAAAAATATTGAAATAGAAGATGCAGGGGCAGGGCATTATTATGCAGAATGTGTGTAATATGTAGCCAGGAATTAGCAATGCCTGATAACTTCAATGAATGTAAATTCCACATTGATGGTAAAATAATATTTTGTGTGTGTGTGTGTGTGTGTGTGGTGTGTGTGTGTGTGTGTGTGTGTGTGTGTGTGTGTGTGTGTGTGTGTGTGTGTGTGTGTGTGTGTGTGCTCGCGCTTTTGTGCATGCTCTATAGTGCCCGTAATAGCGTGCACTGGAGTCCATTGTTATGCACTGTGTGTGTGTGGTTTTGCTCAATGTATGTCATCATCACCCCCCCGTGCGTAATATGCACATCGGACAGCACCTCAGCACCCCCAACTCAAAATACCTTCCCGTGCCTCTGGCTTTACTCCAAACGTTTCCCCTGACATCTGATTTGATTTATTATGATACTTAATGGTACATCTATATAACGTCTTTCTGTAGAGTAAAATGTTTTTATCTAATGAAGACACAATTTCATTAATATGTGCTTTCATACTTTTCTGAAACAGTTCAAAGGATCAAACGTTCCCTTGCTTTTGTATCCACAAGCTATTACTATTTTCGTTTTAGATTAAGTATGTACTTTTAGCCAGGAACCACTCACTAATAGTGTTGCAAATAAGGGCTATTGGTCAAGAACTAGATTTCTTATACATAATTTAAGCTTCATGATACGCTTCCTCATCATCCTGTATAAAGAACTACAATTTATTTGACATTTTCCTTGAGACGCCTTTCAGAAAAGAATTACATATTCTATTTGTTTGGTATCAAAAATCTGCTTCAAATATTTATTGTGTGAAATAACACACAAGGTGTCAAAGTTGTGATTTAAGTCAAAATACATGCAAAACGAGAATTAGATCGAATCTGCTGCTCTTAAATACCACTAACGCTGGCTTTTGAAAGGGCAACTTTATTGACACAGCCCTTGTACGCAGTGTTGTCCTTCAGCATAGCCTTCATTCAAGCTTTTTCCTGGCGTAACTGGAATAACCCTGCGTTGAAGGACACTACACCACTGTGGACCATGGCGGCAAAGATTCTGCCCGTAGTAAAGTAAGTAATTGTAATTTTACTCGTAATTTTCATTATGTTTTTGCTGCAGTGGAGCGTGCTAGTCGCTCCATTAGCCATGTAGCTTAGTGACGCAAAGCTAACTGTCAGTGTGCCGGAGAGATTTCCAGCTGTCATGAACCACTGTGATTACTGGATAGATAGCTTAGTCTGTTTAATAGATCACTATTTAGCTTATCATAGTCTACCTGGAACGTTATACATTGCACTTTAACTGTAGCTTTATACACACCAAGCTTCGTCGTTCACCAACGTGAGCTAATGTTGTATAACTAGCTAACGATACTAGCTAACCGTTGAATAGTTAACTGATTATTTATACATAGATACTTTATTCATCACTGTTCTATAAAAGGCCAAAATACTACAGCAACTTCAGAGACACTTTAAGCTGTACACCGCACTAATGGTAACATTTTAAGCGTGTTATTCATCTGTTTGACATGTATTTGACAGGATACTGAGGTGGGTTTTCTTGGTTTGTTGCTTGACTGCCTCTCTCCCCATATTTTTAGACTGGCCACCAAGGTGACCATTGGAGGAGCAGCTCTCTACGTCGCCTACGGCTCTGGCCTGTTAGGAAGCAGCGAGCAGGGCTCCGTGGCCCTGGGGAAGGCCAAGGCTGCGATCCCCCCCGCCGTACAGGAGTGGATGAAGTACTTTGGCCTGGAGGTACAGATAAGATGCTCTACTTATGATATGAGGTGGTAGTAGGCATGGCCTTGCAACTATAGGAAAATATGAAAAGCAAACCCATTGATATCTATCTTTTGTTTTTTAAATGTGCCTGCAGTAGCTAAAAAGGTAAATACTTTAAACACTGCTGATGATGCTATATTTGTAGACATGGATATTATGTTCTATTCTAGTGTCCTACCATCTCATAGTCCTCCCAAACATAATTTGAATCCACTATTACAAGATGAAAATAATGTATTGTTAGTTTGTTACATTCAATGAAAAGTTCTCAGTTGTGTTTACTACAAACCAGACCAAGTTATTTAAAAGTAACAATCATAAACCAATGGAATCACTAAATATGTTTTGTTGTGGATTATTTTTAAACAAGCATTGATCCGACCCATTCAAATCTACCAGCTCACTTGTATTCTTTCCCATTAAACAAACTATCATGACTTTCCAGGTACAAAGCCCGGTAACAAAAAAACATAAGATGAAGATAACTGTCAGATTATTCTTAAAAATATCCAAATTATTTCAGTATATATTCCTATTCCGGTGGAATTCTGGAGTATCATGCCCACCTTTTTTAAGATAATGTATAAGGTAGTATTGGGAGTCATCAGCCAAACTAATATCTCTCAGATTGCACACTGTCTATTTGCACCGGTGTTACAATATTTAATATAAATGCAATATAATATACATATTTACAAATCATGTAAGCAAGTCCTGTGGTGTTTCAAACTTCTCATCCCCTCCTCAGGCTCAGCTTCCAACCATACCTACAGTGGAATTTTCTCCCGTTCAGGCCTGGAACTCTGGTAAGAACTGAAAGAAAACTTGTTCCCTTTTTTTGAAGAGATTTTAACACGTCTGATACCATCATGAATTTGTTCTTAATACCCACATTTTAAATTGTGGCAGTGACTTAGATATAGTGATATAGTTAGCATTTCATTTGGTCTGTTATCAATTGAAGCATCACTACTATCGCTCCAATATAATTGTTGTTGTATTGGTTTATACCTGTAATGCTTTGAATGTATTTCCGATATCTCTAAACCAAACCATTGATTTTTATTTGTATTGCAGGGGTGCGGAAAACCATTTCAACTCTTTCAGAGGCGCCAACAAACGCAGTTGGATACACAAATCAGGGTTTTCAGTACATGAAAGACCTGACGAAGTAAACAGGACCTCAACCTGGACAACCTGACATTTATTCATGTTTTTGAGTTTTGCACTTGAGAAATTCTTCAAAAGTTGTTTCCCCTCCCAGGAAAGAAGAAACTCCCAACATAGAAGGAAACAGTTCAGCTATAACGAGTGGAGACTGAATGGGTACTTTGGTTCTCTAAATGTTAGCGGCATTCGTTTTGAGTTGTTTTGTACATAATGCTAGGAAGCTAAATGTATGTTAAAAAACAAATTTATTTTTTCCTTTTGTGTATTCCATCCAAATTAATTTTGCTTAATACTGTCTAATAATCAGTATTTCACCCTCCTTTGTTCTCAAACAATCCAAGTAATCTTATGAAGAGAATGTCTGTATATTGTGTATATATATATGCAATTTCACCAGTTGTCACAAAAAATACATCAATCTTAAAACAAGTCACGTCTTTAGTTTGATTTATTAAGGAAAGAAATACTGCATGTTGATCAAGGCAGCGTGTCTTAAGAACAAGACCAGACAAATGTGCAAAAATCTTTATTACTCATGACAGAATAATAACGACACAAATTGCCTGTTGATGCTGCTACATCTTGGAACAGGAGGTGATTTAAAGCATAAAGAATAGCGCTTACAGTCATTTGTAACTCCACTTTACACAACACAGAAACACTACACAGCACCACTAGTGGTGATGTACAGTGAGAACCTTTTTTTTTTTCAATGTAGGTTAAACTAACGGTACCTATTCTGCCACACATTGTCACTTCCCTACTGTCAAAATAAGGTTTAAATATCTCCAGACACTCTGATCAGATAATGCATGCAGTGTTTTGAAAGCTAAAAATAACAGGAACAGTTAAACCACTGATTGACTAGTTAACTGAGGGATACACTTGAAGAAGACTGACGGGGCTAGACCAATTCAACAACTGAAAAAGTGTGGATGAGACCAATTTTGCAAGCATACATGTTGGCAAGAGACAAAGTTATAAAGCCTATAACCAGAGTTAGTGAGTTGCTGTCAACAAACTTATTTTTTCAGTTGAATATACCTGTTATCATTTTTGGAAATAAACAACCCTTTCACTAAAAGCTGGTGTTGTTTGGATGAGAAATTTATATAAATGAGAGTAACCACTACAAGCAACATTACAAGGCATTTTACACAAGTCTTACATATTGAATACTGTCATTTGAACATATTGCAACACATTTTTCTTTTTTTCTTCCATGCGTATGATATAAAGCATTTATTCCGCCACATTTTCTCTGAAGGAAAAAGCATTTTGGGGAAACTACAGTTGTGGTCAAAAGTGTACATACACTTGTAAAGAACATGTATTTCATGACAGTCTTGACTTTTCAATAATTTCTACAACTCTTATTTTTCTGTGATAGAGTGATTGGAGCACATACACAAAACAAAAATCATGAAGTTTGGTTATTTTATGAATTTCTAATGAGTCTTCTGAAAATGTGATCAAATCTGCTGAGTTAAAAATATACATACAACAACGAAAAAAATTGGTAACATTTCCCTTGGCCATTTTCACCTCAATTAGGCGCTTTTGGTAGCCATCCACAAGCTTCTGGTTGAATCTTTGACCCCTCCTCTTGACAGAATTGGTGCATTTCAGCTAAATTAGTTGGCTTTCTGACATGGATTTGTTTCTTCAGCACTGTCCACATGTTCTCAGTCAGGTTTAAGTCGGGACATTGGGAAGCCATTCTAAAACCTTAATTCTAGCCTGATTTAGCCATTCCTTTCCACTTTGTATGTGTGTCTGCAGTCATTGTCCTGTTGGAGCGCCCAACCTTCTGGCCGATGATTTTAGGTTCTCCTAAATAATTTGGAGGTAATCCTCTTCATTATTCCATTGACTTTAGGAAAAGCACCAGTTCCATTGGCAGCAAAACATGCTCAGCACATAATAGTAGCACCACCATGCTTGATGGTAGGCATGGTGATGTTGGGGTTAAAGGCCTCACCTTCTCTCCTCCAACATATTGCTGGTAATTGTGGCCAAACAGATACATTTGTGTTTCCTCTTTACTCTAGAAGGCCGTTTCTTCGTCCATTTGATCAGCAGCAAACTTCAGTCGAGCCTCAATGTGCCGCTTCTGGAGCGAGGGCTTCCTTCCTGCACGGCAGCCTCTCAGCCCATAGTGATGTAAAACACGCTTGACTGTGGACACTGACACCTGTGTTCCAGCAGCTTCTAATTCATTGCAGACCTGCTTTTTAATGGTACTCTGTTGACTCTTGACCATTTTTCTCTCCGTAGCAGGTGATGGCTTGCGTTTTCTTCCTGATAATGGCAGTGACGCAACTGTGCCATGCACTTTATACCTACAAACAATTGTGTGCACAGTTGATCTTGGGACCTGTAGCTGCTTTGAAATGGCTACAAGTGACTTTCCTGACTTGTTGAAGTCAATGATCCGCTTTTTCAGATCCATGCTGAGGCTCCTTTGACCTTTCCATTGTGGATGAGTCTAACGATTGTATCATATGAACCCTATTTAAATGGGGTACCAGCTATAGTCAATTATAATCACTCACAAGAAGTTAAGAGGCCATGTCACAAAGTTAATTTAAAACAACTTTCTACATCCCAAAAATTGATAATTCATGTTGCTGTAAGTATATTTTTGACCCAGCAGATTTGATCACATTTTCAGAAAACCCATTATAAATTAATAAAAGAACCAAACTTCATGATTTTTGTTTTGTGACAAAGTAGTATGTGCTCCAATTACTCTATCATAGAAAAATAAGAGTTGTAGAAATTATTGAAAAGTCAAGACTGTCATGAAATACATGTTCTTTACAAGTGTATGTAAACTTCCGACCACAACTGTGTATAGCGTACTATAACCTAAACATGTAAACTTTATACAATAAAGTGCTCCCCGAAGATCAACAGTGAGCTTATACAACCAATGAAGTGTGTAATATTTAAAGAACATTTGATACTGCATTAACAGCAAAACACAGCACTCATAAACTGATGGTTGCAAAACTTTCCTCAAGCTGTCAGTGTCCTTACATCTGAATGAAATCCAAATAGCAGCCTTCATACGCAATGATTTAATAAGGGCGTAGATGGTGGAGATATAGTATTTACAATATTGCAAAATGACAAGCCGGAAGGCACTTTATGATTTGTGTGGGATCTAATTTATATGAGAATTTGGCAAACTGTGTCTTTTCCACCAGTGCAAAGTATCTTATAACTTGCTAAATATGGTGCAACGGTGCAGGAGAATCTTTACACAAAGCATAATTAATCTAAAAGGCTTTTGTAAATATAAGGGACCTCTTTTACAATGCTGATATCAGTCATTCCTACCATTATTAACAATAATTGTATAATATTGTTAGATTAATACAATACACATATTCATCTACCCATTTAATTTAATAAATGCCTCAGTGGAATGTGTCTATCCCAAACGTTATGTGTATATCGTGCTTACTAGCTATTTAGTAGATCCAAAGAAAAGTGTCTTCATAGGAATATTTTGAGCAGCTTTTTAGTCACACTTTGATTTAATTAGGATAATTACTCCAAGGACAGATTAGCGAACATCTCAAGGAAAAACAAAACAAAATGCAGAAATCAACTGCCCTCTTTGCAGCTGTTGGGCCATCCTGAACTGTCCAACCTTAAATAAAAATGCAGAGCAGCAACAATAAAAACAAGTTGACTCCATCTCCTTGCGATAGCCGAGCATAGCGGTGCTACAGTTCTGCTGTGCATATGAAAAACAGATTGCACTTTCTTCTGAACAATAAAGCGTTTTAACTATTCAACCCTGCCATGGCTTTGGATAACAGATTATAACGATGAGTGGAACAGACGCAGATGGAGGGAGGCTGGAGAGTGAGATAAAGTGTCCACTATGCCTAGGTGGTTTTCACCAGGTCATAGACATGGATATGAAAGTCATCATCATATTTGATATAGTAGACAGAGGGCTTGGCTGGGACCTGGTAGATGACCAGGCCTGTTCTCTTCACACCTTTGTCAGTAACATACTCCACCTGTTTCCCCACCAGACTCTCCGTCTCTTCTCCGGGCTTCCTGTCTGCAGGCAACAGGTGTTTGTTTTCTGAGGAGTGAAACATTATAGCGTTACATGTGAGTAAGTCCAAGTTAGTTTGACATTTGCTTGTGTGTAACTCACCAAACACGGCCTACTTAAAGTATAAAGTGGATACAACATACAGTGGTTTGTTTTTCAAGCAAAATGTGCACGGAAAATGATTAAAACCAAGAGTTCTTTATTATTCTAGAAATGATCTGTCCCATCATTTATCTTATTCATAACAATAATAGGATGTGCTAACTGTCATCAGCAGAAGTATACATCCTAATTTTCCCTTTCCAGTCTTAATTTCTAAATGTCCTCTTTACTTCAATAAATGTACATACCTTAAAATAATTCTCTAGACTTTAGACAACTTTTAAGGCAAGTGTAAGGATCCTGGTTATCTTTATTTTACTTTCTCAAGCCTAAATTAAGCATGTAATCTGTATAATATAAATAATGATGGCAACAAATCTTTAAAATAACAAACAATGTGAGTTTTTAAATGTGTTCAATATTCAGATTTAGAGTATTGGATATAATTCGACCTCATACAGAATATATCTCTTATCTCCAAACACAACTCCAAGCGTAACTTTAAATTATGTACTTAAGCCTGTTTACTATTACGAGTATAATTATTTGATGAATACTATTGATAAATACAGACTTCTAAGACCACCATGAACTCACATGCTATCCATGTCAAAGAAGTTTAAACAGTCCTCCAAAGTGGAAAATTAATTTCCATCACATAGCAGATCTTGATCTATAAAGCTTTAGGACACAGTTATTGAAGACTTAAGAAAGCCTTGTTAAGTATCAATCAGTCTTTGTTTAAAAAAAATCCCCAGTACCTGCTTCAGGCAGAATCCTGAGGTCTCCGTCAGCATAGTCGTCCCACAGCTGGTACATATAAAGCACGGGGTCCTTTTCATAAGTGATATAATACCAGTTGGTCATGATGGGAGCTCTGGAGAGGACCATGCCTCTCCACTCGTTCTTCTCTCCATCCTCCTTTTCAAACAGATGCTCCACAGCTTTGCCCACCAGCTCCTCCGCCCCTGGTGGCATCTTGATCTTGTTGTTTACTTTGGAAACACAGCCACAAACGATGTAAACATTAAAAGTGAGAAACATGGCAATTGGTTGCCAAACTGCAAGTAAACGTGAATAGCATCTTCATTATATGACAAATGTTTCTCTTTGTTAAAAAGTCTAAAACGACATGGTGCAGATTAACGAGAGGTGTGGTAACTCACCAACTTTTTCTGACAGGACCTGCAGGTTCGACACTCTCTCGTCCTTGAACAGCTCGATGCCATAGACGCAGTCGAAGCCGTCATACTTCACCATGAAGAGAGAAGTGTTCACACTCAACCTGTCCAGTACCGTTCCCTTCCATTTGCTCTGGTTCCCCTTCTCACGCCAGTTATGCTGAATGCGGACTCCCAGAATGCTGTTCGGATCCGGGGTCAATGTGTCACTCAGCTCCCCGCTACTCCGCTTTCTGAGAAAACAGGAATATTAAGGGCTGTGCGTCTGTTCTCGCCATTAAAAAATAATCTGTTGTTTTGTATACAGCTGTTTATTTGAATGCAGTGGGATTTTTTACCATTTACATTATGTTATAAAACCACCTCTAATAACTATTACACTATATTTTAAAACAATCATTAATGGCCTCATGTGATGACATAGCTTTGTTTCAACATACCTGCCTCTTTTCTTGGACATGCCTCCAGAAAGTCAAAGGCTACTGATAAAGAGAAAGACAGGGACACGTTTCAGTGATTATGAGAGAGTATGACAGCTGCCATACCTCTATGTCCTGTATATAACCTATATAACAGCATGAGGAAGGCCTCTGCTCCAGCTAAGAGGCTGTCCTCTCTACAGAAACCTGTGACAGACTGCAGGCTGCTCAACAGAGACTGACAACTGCAGCAGCCAATAGCTTAGCATGCAGGAATAACTTCCTGGGTATTTACTCTAACTACACAGACATGGAGGTCATGTCTGGTGCGAGACTTGGTCATATTTCTTACACAACTTCAGCTCCGTTAAGGATTTAAAACACAATCTGGCAGACACAACTTCAATATGTCAGCCATTTCACTGTAGCTGACATATTACAGTATACAACGTTAGCCGGTTACATATGACTGTAAATAACTTGAATATTAGCAGCATACATGAACAATATATTGAGGTGAGTACCATAAACCACGTTATAAGGCATACCGTATACCACCTGTCCTGGACTTAATCCAACACACCTACACCTCACTGTACGTTATCAATAAGGCTAGCTCTACCTCAATGCAGATGTGAAGGCAGCTAGCTAAACCCGTGTCCCTGAAACCAGGTATCACACACCAGCAACAACTGGGTGGTTACAGCCCATTTTCTCCCCACGTAACATCTCTCCATTACCTTTACGCAGATTTCATATCAGTATTGTTCAGTTCGTCTGGCAGGGAAATGCTGCCACACACCAGCCCGCCTATGTAAATCTCGCGAAACCTGTGGAAAATGGGAGATGCGGAGACGAGACTCTAGTTCCCAGGGAGCCTTCGGTTGCCACGACCACAGAGAAAGACAGCAACACTCGCGCAATGAACGCTGGGAAATGGTGTTTTAATGACAATGATGTGGACTTTTTTTAACAACCGGAGTTACACAGGTGTTGTGCTGCATGCTGCGTTCGAGTGTTTTCGGAAATAGCGTCATTACGGTATTATAGCGCATGATAGACATGAAAAGGTACACAGCAACTAACCACAGCAGGAGAGTGAGGTCGGAATTTTCTGTGACGCAAGACTCGCCAATAATTTGACTTAAAGGGGCAGAGAACGTTAAGGAGATTTTAAAGTTAGAAAAGCAACATTAGCATAAGATCTGGTGTTTGGACTGTATTGCCAAGCATACTCTTTCTATAACATGTATTGCAACTTTAGGTCTTTCACAACAATTAGAAAATCAAGTTTGATCCACATGTTAAATACATTGCACTGTTGTTAAATATGGTGCAACCAGTGTTGCAAATATTCAAGGGCACTAGGGCAGTAATGACCACATTTTAAATGTATCTTGAATTATGAACTGAATGCCTGCAATACAATTGTTCCAGTAATCTACAGGGTCGTTAGACAGCTACAGTGACCTCTTGCCTAGCATTTAGGGCAGGGTTAGTGAGCATGGGCAAATCAATGGTAAAATCAGCTGTGCCACTGACTTTAATGATGTCTCAAAGTGAGGTGTTCATACTTTATCTGTGAAAACATTCGTGAAATACGCCCTTTTTCTTTAACAAATTCAACATGATATATCCTGAACCTATATTGTCATTACTACTAATTCTGCTTAGTACTACATTTTTTTTCTAAAGCTGTAATGACAGAGTTCATGATTTCCTGGTGGTGTCACTGTTTGACAATTCAAAACGTAGTGCTGTGGGATTGACTACACTCATTTTCACTTTGTTGCAGGCCAGTATATTTTTTAAATTTGATGACGAAAAAACAAAAATCCTGACTTATTCAAAGGCATGATGCATAACAGAAACAAAAGGCAACAACAGTTGGGGTGACAAAAACTTCCTTTATTATCTTATCTCAACAGCCACAGCACTGCATGGCACATGACACCTCATTATAAAGAGCATTGTCTTACATTTGCATCCCAGTCAAGCATATTGACTCATAACCATTATACCTAATTTGCCTAATTCTTGTTTAACACTCTTGCTATCCAACTCCTGAAGGTTGAAATGCGTGTGTAGACATCAGGAGTCCTGGGGTCTCCACATCTCCGACCAGAGAAGGAGACGACGCCTGCTGTAGCTCCATCACACACCAACGGACCACCTGAATCCCCCTTAAACAGAAAAGATAAGAGACCGTTCACAAATTGTGTAGTTTGTTTGAAACATCCTGAGATATTGTTTTGTTCTCAGCCTTACTTAATAAGTGCAAATATAAAATAAGACGGTGTAGTGGTGTGAAAATAGAGACTTCTATCTTTGACTAGTCTGCCTCTGTGTTACGGGCCGTCTCCACGGCAGCGTTAAAAAATCTTGAAACGCTTCTGCCCATTCACTTTGAATGGGGTGACGTCACTTTTTTTCGCTTTCGCCGAAATGCATTGTGGGCAGGCGAGCGGAGATTCTCAGGATTTTCAAGATCCAAAGTTGAACAATGTTCAACTTTTGAGGCTGAGGTGGAAGCGTCAGCCAATCAAATCCTGTGTACGCAAATCTGACAGTTCAAGCTCTAGCCAATCAAACGGCGTGTATGCTGGGAGAGACAGACCGCAGGTCATTTCCTCATATTCCAAAAAATGGAGGAGAAATTAGCGGTAGCGAATCAATCACCCGGTGCTTTATGACCAGACCTACCGGGATATAAACCGGAGGAGCCAGGCATGGAGGGAGGTGGCAGAGACAGTGGTAGGTTTTCGCCTGTTTTGGGGAGTTTATATCCAGTTTACTTCGGGCTTTTTTGCTTCGTATGTCGCGGGCGGGAGATTCATGTGATTGGTTGCTCGCAAAAAATCCTCAAGCTTCAGATACGCCCACCTCCAAGATTTTTTTAACGCTGCCGTGGAGACGGCCCGTGTATGTGAAGATAAAACATCACAGAAAAGACACATTAGTTTCTAGTGTTTAACCACAAAAGGTTAATTATGTCCTTCGCTACAGTGGCATCATTTTGAAACGAAAAACAAAGATATTATTAACAAATGTAATGTTTATTTTTAACATATTGAAGCACACTCTTTGAAAGGTTTGCTTTTTAAGCGTATTCTCTTACCGAGCAGAAGCCTTGAAAGACACCGGCTCCAATGCCACAAACCATGCTCCTGGTGATGGGAACAGTTCTCCACCTTCTAATACACCCCCGCTGTGGCAGGGTGGTTACGTTGACTTCCTGAAGCCTGTTCGGTAAGGTGCCATTGTCTCCTACATCCCCCCAGCCAGCTGTGATGCACTGACTGGAAGTACGCAGCCTGCCTCTTTTCGGAGAGATCAGCTGCACGGAGTCCGTCAGTTGTGCACTTCCATTGAGCTGAGACAAGAACAATTCAATTGATAAAGAAATACGTACATCTAAACCTGAATTTCCCCTTAATAATCTCATTCACCAACAATGTAATCCTTACCTTTAAAAGCATGATATCATTTCCATGTCCATCATAGTTGGGATGTGGAATGGATCTGACTACAGTGAACTCCTGCTTTGTAGGCTCATTAGCGGTCAGGGAATTAGCTCCAAGCACGACTGTATATGGTCTAGAAATCACAATAAAATGATGGATAGGCGTTCGATATGATGTTAAGAGTTCAAATAATCTCTTTTGAGATTAACATTATTTTCAACATTGAAAATATCATTACATAAAAGAAAACAAATTGACCACTTCTAAGAAGAATTGATGTTTTCTAGTTGTCCTACAAATCAGCACTTTCCATTTATTTATTAAGTAGACAATCACCTTGCCGACTTTAAAGAAGAACGGTATTCACTACAGTAAAACATTGTCAAAGAGTGCATCCCCAAAAACATTTCCTGCTTGTAACTAAGCCTTACTTTGACAAATATGTAATATGTAAAAATGTTTGCTGTAATAAATTACTTCGGTCTGACAAATTAAAGGTCCCTGTAAGTTTATATTTATACTAAATTGACCTGATATGAAAAAACACAAAATAACAGAAACATCTCTGACTGTTTTTTTAAAATCTTACATGGGTATCTCACAATGTGCTGCTGTGAGCACAAAGTCCCCTCTCACCAGGGCCCCCCCACAGAGGTGGCGTCCTCGGACTTGCAGCGAGGCCATGTACGGTCGAGAATTAGGGGCAGCATCTCTTCCTCCAACAATATAAGAACCATCAGCCCCTGAAATACAAAATCACAATTCATTCATCGCCTGTGTTTATCCAAATTGCTCTCAGTTGGCAGCCAATGCTGATTTATATGTCTCATCTTACCATTAATGATGAGGAGCAGCAGTAGTAGGGAGCTGGTTGCCATGGTCTCTGCTCAAATCCACACCAGCCACTAAAGGTCTTGTCGTTTTTAGAGAAGTAAAGATATTACTTAGTTTGTGGTCTTTATTGCTTCAGTGTGTTTGCTAACAGTCTGTTGACTTTTCGTAAAAGGATGGTTGGATTACAAAACACGTGTAACTTGCATGTTCAAAACAGGCTTTCATAATAGATGCAAGAAACTTTTAGTGTTAAAGATAACGGCCATATTGAGGCCCACAACGCTTTAAGGGTTAAAACTGCTGTATGTGTCACAGGGTACAAGATTACAATTTAATGTTAAAGTTGTTTAGCAAAGGAAAAAAAGGCTACGAATAGACGTTTCCTGGTTCCACCCCTGGTACATTGCAGCCTCTGTCAGAAGTGTGTGTGTGTGTGTGTGTGTGTGTGTGTGTGTGTGTGTGTGTGTGTGTGTGTGTGTGTGTGTGTGTCGAGAACTCTTACAAACTTGTGTTTTATTTTAATGTTAGTGCTTAGATTTAACTCTTGCAAATTGTTGAAAGGATTATTTCTCTTTCCTCTTTTAGGTTACATCACATGTATGTGAACAAGAGCTTTATTGAAGAAATAATGTGGTTTAGTGTAATGCAACACATGGTAGACAGAAACGCTCTAACATGTAACTGAGTTCCTCAGTTATGTTGAAAATATTTTCAAATTCTCCTGTTGAAACTGCAGTAAATGTCAATATAAAACTGCCATTTTAAGAATCAAGTATCACTGTTTTGATTACTAAACACTAGAAATATATATTTTGCATTTCTCATAATGACTTAAATACCATTTTGTGTACCCTGTTGAAGACCGTTACCGTAGGAAACAAATACTACAATATTTAGAATTTGGTTTTGTTTTTTATCAAATGGTCGTATTTATTCATCATTATTTAGATGAATTAATGAGGACATGGTTCATGTGTGCCTCGCGTGACACAGCCCAATCAAACATTTCTCTGACTTGTGTGACAAACTAGCTGAACCTCAGTAACCACAGTTTCCAACCTCAGATATGAGTGTTGATGTCAGAAGACACCACACTCATATCTTCAAGTAAAGTGTCATGAAACGTGTCTTATCGTATTGGTATACTGCTGTATGTCAGACTGTATGCAGCGTTTCAAGTGGCTGCCCTTTGCCATTTTTTAGGAAAATAGGAAATAAATAAATAAAAATAAATATAATATTAGGAATACTATCATTCACAACCCTTTCTCTTTCCTGAATGGTCATTCTACATAATGTACGTGATTTACCAATAGTAGGACTGTTTCATTTTTAATCTATTATATTACATTATCTTATTTATAGTCTAATGGGATGGCATTCATATCTTGGAACCTGGAATAGCTTCTTAGCAATGTCATAGGACCTTCACTATGGTTTGCTGAGGTTATATAGCTTCATTGAGCTATATAGAACAACATGTTATATACATTATATTTATATATTTTTAAATATTTAAAATAATTTATTTATTTCCTGTTAGGTTAAAACACAAGTTAATTTATTTATTTCATTGTTTTTAACACACTTCTTCTGTAAAAAATCTTCTGTTAATCCCCTTGTATGAGTGTCTTGGCTGACCTGCTTCTCTGACTAAGCAGCTCAATAAATAAATATCTGCCTGCACAATCCAATCTGTTTCATTGAATGAATTGAATGAAAGAGAAAACGATATTTGAGAAACATTTTTAATGTTGCCATTGCATTAAAGAGCAAACACTCAGTGACTAAGACACATATTTTTCTACCAAATACAATACAAGTGTGCTGAAGCAAAGCTTTTTGAAATATTGTTACTATCATTTCAAACATTTATTCGCTATAATACGGGCGTTGATCCAGGAACGGTATTTTGAGATATCAATGTAGACGCTGGGTAAACCTGTGAAGGAACAGTCCTCGTTGACAGTCGCAATTCCAACAGCTTTCCCCTTGCACACGAGGGGTCCACCAGCATCTCTCTGTGAGCAGGAAATATCTTTATTTGTTAAAAAGATTATGCATGATGTTATACCTTCTTTTGGAATAAGAAACAAATGTATCTATGAAACATACCTTACAAAATCCTCCATTGTCTGTTGTCTGTTTACCACCTGTACAGATAGCATTGGCACGAAGTCCAGGAATCTGCACTTTGCAAGCCTTCGGGCTGATGACAGTCACGCCCACCACATGGAGCTGATCGACATAATCAGATCCATCGTTCTCCACTGGACCCCATCCAGCAAATTGGCACTTTTCATTTTCTTTTACATCCGTTTCAGGGTCTTGAAGTTGAATTTCTTTTGGTAGATCGTCTGGTTTTGTTCGATATATCTTTAGACCAATAAAATCAAAAAGCAGTTTTTCAAAACACAGTCCTACTCTACTACAAATTGGTTTGTTGGAGCGCATGAGTCACTTAAATAAAGGTTATTACGAGCAGTATTACAGTAAATCAACCGGTTTTTGGTTGTGCTGTGTAAATATTATAAGCAGGAATATTTAATACTATTTGCTTCGCCCCGTTTATTTACATTTACCCTCACTGAATCAAACTCAGTTGTTTAATTTTCTTCAAACCAAGGGACTACTGGGCTGAATAAACTTACTTCAATGAGCATGATGTCAGTCCCAATTCCAGGTGGGGGTTTGCATGTGGACATAATGTGTTCTTTTATTTTAGGGCCAGGTCTTCTGAGATGGTGGGTGCCGAGAACAACGATTCCTTCATCACTGAAAAATAAATCAGTGAGAGGTTATCGTTGTATTTTGTAAAGTTGTGACAACACAGAACAAATGAAACATGCTTTTTACATCAAACAACAAAACACTAGCTAGAAAAGGAGTAACTTACAATTTACACCCCCCATGGGTGACAACAAAATGTTTGCTGACAAGGAATCCTCCACATTTGTGTTCACCGTCTTCCTGCACCGATACCATATACTTCATCAAATTATCGTTGGCAATTTTTTTGTGTCCACCGCCTTCCTGCAGCCATACCAGTGGCGGACTGGCCATCGGGACGTTCGGGCGAATCTCGATGGGCCGGTACTGAAGTGGGCCGGGCTGACGATGTGGGCCGGTCGGATAAGTGTAAAAGCCCCCCCCCCCTCGTCGACAATTTACTAGCGGTATTTACTTGCGGTACCGAGGTGGGCCGACGGTACCGAGGTGGGCCGGTCGAGAGTCCCGGGCTGATTTTTAGTCCCAGTCCGCCCCTGACCGATTCAAACTTCATCAAATTATCGTCGTCAATTTTCCGATTTATGATTTTTCCATTTAATACGTCGTCGATCCAGGAACGGTATTTTGAGATATCAATGTAGACGTTGGGTAAACCTGTGAAGGAACAGTCCTCGTTGACAGTCGCAATTCCAACAGCTTTCCCCTTGCACACGAGGGGTCCACCAGCATCTCTCTGTGAGCAGGAAATATCTTTATTTGTTAAAAAGATTATGCATGATGTTATACCTTCTTTTGGAATAAGAAACAAATGTATCTAACATACCTTACAAAATCCTCCCTTGTCTGTTGTCTTTTTACCACCTGTACAGATAGCATTGGCACGAAGTCCAGGAATCTGCACTTTGCAAGCCTCCGGGCTGATGACAGTCACGTTCACCACATGGAGCTGATCGTCATAATCAGATCCATCATTCTCCACTGGACCCCATCCAGCTACTTGGCACTTTTCATTTTCTTTTACATCCGTTTCAGGGTCTTGAAGTTGAATTTCTTTTGGTAGCTTTTCTGGTTTTCTTGAATTTATCTTGAGACAAATAAAATCAAAAAGCAGTTTTTCAAAACACAGTCTTACTCTACATCATATGTCAGGTACAAATGTGTTTGTTGGAGCACATGAGTCACTTAAATAAAGGTTATTACGAGCAGTATTACAGTAAATCAACCGGTTTTTGGTTGTGCTGTGTAAATATTATAAGCAGGAATATTTAATACTATTTGCTTCCCCCCGTTTATTTACATTTACCCTCACTGAATTAAACTCAGTTGTTTAATTTTCTTCAAACCAAGGGAATACTGGGCTGAATAAACTTACTTCAATGAGCATGATGTCAGTCCCAATTCCAGGTGGGGGTTTCCATGTGGACATAATGTGTTCTTTTATTTTATTGACATCTCTGCTGAGATCGTGGGTGCCGAGAACAACGATTACATCTCCGTCTTCATCACTGAAAAAGACATCAGTGAGAGGTTATTGTTGTATTTTGTAAAGTTGTGACAACACAGAACAAATGAAACATGCTTTTTACATCAAACAACAAAACATTAGCTAGAAAAGGAGTAACTTACAATTTACACCCCCCATGGGTGACAACAAATTGTTTGCTGACAAGGAATCCTCCACATATGTGTTCATCGTCTTCCTGCACCGATACCATATACTTCATCGAATTATCGTTGGCAATTTTTTTGTGTCCACCGTCTTCCTGCACCGATACCAGAGGCGGACTGGCCATCGGGACGTTCGTGACGAATCCCGATGGGCCGGTACTGAAGTGGGCCGGGCTGACGATGTGGGCCGGTCGGATAAGTGTAAAAGCCCCCCCCCTCGTCGACAATTTACTAGCGGTATTTACTTGCGGTACCGAGGTGGGCCGGCGGTACCGAGGTGGGCCGGTCGAGAGTCCCGGGCTGATTTTTAGTCCCAGTCCGCCCCTGACCGATTCAAACTTCATCAAATTATCGTCGTCAATATTGCGATTTATGATTTTTCCATTTAATACTTTGTCGATCCAGGAACGGTATTTTGAGATATCAATGTAGACGTTGGGTAAACCTGGGAAGGAACATTTTTCGTCGACAGTTGCAATTCCAACAGCTTTCCCCTTGCACACGAGGGGTCCACCAGCATCTCTCTGTGAGCAGGAAATATCTTTATTTGTTAAAAAGATTATGCATGATGTTATACCTTCTTTTGGAATAAGAAACAAATGCATCTATGAAACATACCTTACAAAATCCTCCATTGTCTGTTGTCTGTTTTCCACCTGTACAGATAGCATTGGCACGAAGTCCAGGAATCTGATCTTTGCAAGCCTTCGGGCTGATGACAGTCACATCCACCACATTGAGCTGATCGTCATAATCAGATTCATCGTTCTCCACTGGACCCCATCCAGCTAATTGGCACTTTTCATTTTCTTTTACATCCGTTTCAGGGTCTTGAAGTTGAATTTCTTTTGGTAAATCTTCTGATTTTGTTCGATATATCTTGAGACGAATAAAATCAAAAAGCAGTTTTTCAAAACACAGTCCTACTCTACTACAAATTGGTTTGTTGGAGCACATGAGTCACTTAAATAAAGGTTATTGCGAGCAGTATTACAGTAAATCAACCGGTTTTTGGTTGTGCTGTGTAAATATTATAAGCAGGAATATTTAATACTATTTGCTTCCCCCCGTTTATTTACATTTACCCTCACTGAATTAAACTCAGTTGTTTAATTTTCTTCAAACCAAGGGACTACTGGGCTGAATAAACTTACTTCAATGAGCATGATGTCAGTCCCAATTCCAGGTGGGGGTTTGCGTGTGGATTTAATTTGTTCTTTTATTTTAGAGCCAGGTTTGCTGAGATCGTGGGTGCCGAGAACAACAAATACTTCTCTGTCTTTATCACTGAAAAATAAATCAGTGAGAGGTGATCGTTGTATTTTGTAAAGTTGTGACAACACAGAACAAATGAAACATGCTTTTTACATCAAACAACAAAACACTAGCTAGAAAAGGAGGAGTAACTTACAATTTACACCCCCCATGGGTGACAACAAAATGTTTGCTGACAAGGAATCCTCCACATTTGTGTTCACCGTCTTCCTGCACCGATACCGTATACTTCATCAAAGTATCGTCTGCAATTTTCCCCTTTATGATTTTACTTCCAAGTACTGTAAATAACAAAGAGTTAAAACTAGTTATTATCTAATTTTCAGGATGAAGAAAAGTCATCAGAGCAATTTACCGTTTTGATCTTGGCATGCCAGAAGAAAAAGAAGCAGAAGCTTGTAGAGCCCACGCATCGTGGCGACAGGATGATCAGCCCGCTGTCAAGTGGAACGTTTTTACTGCAGAGTTCGAACTACACAATATGATTGCCATCTATTTATCTTCACTTCCAACCACATCCTGCGGGAGATGCTATTTTGCAACATTGAAAAAAACATACATCATGTAAATACTATGTGTTCGGACATACATTTATAAATTCCTCCTCTTCCTCCATGTCACTCCCCATCCATTTTCACAAAGATCTTTTATAAACCTATTACTTGCATCATTTCCTGTGTCAGTGTGGCGATGCAGTTGTTTTGACATGTGTATAATTTCAAATGTATTTCTTAATTTGTTCAGCTTTATTTCTATTGATATTGGCACAAAATAAATACTTTAACATGTAAATGGAAGGGGTTATTTACATACAAGTTGTTTTATTAGTACAGTACTAATGGCAGCAAACCTGCGTCCTGCAACATTGCTGCCGTTAGTAGGCGAAACTGGCAGGCTGTGTCCAGTAACCAGGACTTTCCCACAAGCATATGTAGAAGCAAGGGTGTAACTTTGGTTTGAGAAGTGGGGGGGACACAAAACAGGGGGTCCTCCGCAATGAAACATTTTTCTCAATTTAATTCAATTTCCTGCCTTTCTACGAATATATTAGGGACTATGGTGTTAAAAAATCCAAGAAAAATGTGTAGTATATATAATGAGGAGAAGATTTTTGTCTTTAAATTGAAGTTAAAAGCATCAATCTGGTGCACTTTGAGAGCAAAATTAAGAGATTTATGGATACAGCTCTCAACACTCATATGAAACAGAACTGTATACATTTCAATATTCCAAAAACCATTAGAATATGCTCACAACCAATAACACATAATTGATATACTCCTCTCTCCTATCTTAAACTTACCTAGTCTGCATTCTTTCTTTTTATGTATGCATATTTTACTAATCACTCCCCTTTTAAACTGTGTCTTTTAATTTTTTACTGACATTGAAATGATTTCTTAACTTATTTTGAACAACTATATTAAATAGATGGAAATATTTCTTTACATAGATGACCAAACCGTTTGAGACCCACTGAGATAACTTAGACTAAAGTTTACAATCTAATCACTCAGCGAGTCCTTTACATCGGCTAAACTGACGTTATCTCAGCCTCTCAGTCTTAATAAACACATTTGAAAAGTGGGGGGGGACACAAACGGGATTTTGAAAAGTGGGGGGGACATGTCCCCCCTGTCCCCAGTGGAAACTACGCCCATGAAGTGAATAAAAGTGACCAGCTAGGGGTTTTCTTTTAGCCTGTAAAGCCTACATTTGGTTGCCTCTGTCACATTTTAAAGCCACTATTTCATCGTACACACAGAAACTTATGACTGTTAACCCAATTTTGACATGCAGTGAAATATTGAGGAACATTAAGTCCTTGTGCATTTTCCCCTCTCTCTGTAAATAGCTATTCATATTGAAAACCACACCTTTTCCTAACCAGCACTTTTGTAACTGAGCATCATTAGACCTTAATAGTATTTTTGTATGAATCTATTGAAACCTTCACCACATGTTATACTTAATTGATATACTGATAATACACATTATTTATATAGCACCTCTTTAGAACTGCTTTTAATCTGTAATTAATGTTGTGTTTTATATATTTTAAGTGTTTTGTTTTAATTATGTTTTAATTAATTTTATTACTGTGTAAAGTGTCTTTGAGTTTCTAGATAAGCGCTCTTTAAATAAAATGCATTATTATTATTATTATTATTATTATTATTATTATTATTATTATTATTATTATTATTATTATTATTATTATTATTATTATTATTATCATTATTATTATTATTATTATTATTATTATTATTATTATTATTATTATTATCATTATCATTATTATAGAACCTTTAATGCAAGATGCAGCCTAAGGTGCTTTACAGATACAAAAAACAATAAAACATAAACAGTGATACCTCTAAAATGACTCCAAATTCAAAGATAGGTCTTCAATTTACTTTTAAAAACTCCAATGGAGTTTGCTGTTCTAAGATCCAATGGGAAAAACATAAAGCAGCCTCCCCAGATTTATTGTGTATTACTTTAGGTACTTCTAAAAGAAATGCATCGGAGGATCTGAGTGTCCTTGTTGGGTTATCAAAAGAAAGGCAGTCCCTGATGTGTGTAGGGCCCGGGTTATGTAAAGCCTTGTAAATAATTAAAAGCATTTTAAAATAAACTCGGAAAGACACCGGTAACCAGTGCAGTGATGCCAGCACAGGGAACATGTGATCCCTTTTTTCTGTGTTTGTTAAAATCCTGGCCGCAGCAATCTGAATTAATTGCAATTTCTTTAAAGATTTTTTTGGAGACCACGAGAATTGCAGTAGTCCAAGCGACTAGTAATAAAAGCATGTAAAACAATTTCAGCTGAGTTAGATTTCTGATACTGTTTGCCATTTTTTTATTTTATATTAATAGATTTTATTTTATCTATTCAAAGATAGCGGATAAAGGAAGTTATACTCACTCGGCGCTACAGTGCGCAGCAGTGAGCACAAAGTCTCGTTGCTTTGCAGGGAGACTAAAAACTTGAACGTATCATCTGGGGCTATTGCTCCTTTTATGATTCTACTCCCATCTGCTGAAATAAGTAAAAGGTCATAGGTTAATTTCAGTTAGTGATTGGAGCATAATAAACAGAGTTCGGAGTATTACCATTTTGTCCGAGAGATGTCAGGACCTGAAAAAGCAGGAGTTTGTGCAGAGCATGCATGATGCCTGCAAGACAATTGACTTGCCTTTGATCTTCGGGGCATTAAGTCGATCCTTTTATGCAGCACTTGGTCTCATTAAAGGTCCCATGTTTTTGCCATTTCTACTGATCATAATTCCATTGTTGAGGTCTACTAGAATAGATTTACATTGTTCAATGTTCCAAAATCACATTGGTTTTCTCATACAGCATCTCTGTATAGTATGTGTAATCACTCTCTGTCCTACACGGCTTGTTGGAGCTCTTGCACCACCATCCCTATGAGCCCACTGTGCTCTGATTGGTCAGCTCGCCCACTCTGTTCTGATTAGTCAACCACCGTTACAGCTGAACATCAGTGTTTATGTTTTACAATGGCGTTTGTTAGCAACCAGAAAATGACACCAGTAATGACAAACAGATGAGAATGCTGGGGTCTGGGTGCCGTGTTGGCGGGACGTTGCGGGGCTCGCTGCTCCGCCCTTTGAGGCTCGAGGAGCGGACAGTGTGAGGTGGATTACTGGTGTAGTTTCCTGGTTGCTGTGTGGGGTCTGTGTGCGTGCCATGCCAGTGGACACCGCGGAGCTCAGCCTGAGCACCGCGGTGTCTGCTGGCATGGCACTTGGTCTATATCCAGCATCCAGGGAAACACAGCGGGAAATCCACCTCACACTGTCCGCTCCGGTAGCCTCTGTAGAGCCTGCACTCTATGTAGGGTGTGCCTATTGTTCTATAGCTGTGTGCCAATTGGTCCATTTGGACTTAGTGACGTCAATAGGCCCCGGAAGAAAAACATGGAAAAATAAAAATCTACAACGAGGCGTTCTGGGGCAGCATAGACACGTCTTTTCTGTGTTAGAGTTTTACTCGCTACAGGGTGTACTTTGAGGGTTTGTGACTTTGCAGACCGTTTACATGCAGAAAAAGCTACATAACACACTACATGTTTTCACTACAGTAAAACATTGTCAAAGAGTGCATCCCACAAAAACATTTCCTGCTTGTAACTAAGCCTTACTTTGACAAATATGTAATATGTAAAAATGTTTGCTGTAATAAATTACTTCGGTCTGACAAATGAAAGGTCCCTGTAAGTTTGTATTTCTACTAAATTGACCTGATAACAGAAACATCTCTGACTGTTTTTTAAAATCTTACATGGGTATCTCACAATGTGCTGCTGTGAGCACAAAGTCCCCTCTCACCAGGGCCCCCCCACAGATGTGG